CGGGTCTTAAAGATTCCCAATTATCTTTAGTGTATTTTGCAATATTAACATCCTCGATCTTTCTCAAATTCATTGGTAGATTAGATTAATTTCCCCATGCCGCTAAACTAGATTTTTCATGTTGATAGGAACATGTGAAATTAATATTTTGCAAATAATTAGAGTTACCCTTTATTTCTTTCTGTCTTTTCCATTTTTTCTGTAAATCTTCATCAGTGAATGAATTAGTTAAAGGTAGAGAATGAATTCCTCTAGCTGTTTTTAAAGGGAATTGTGTTTGTTTTTTTACGTTTTTGATCATGATCCAGTTATCAGAACCACTGCCGTTATGGGAAATTAAGGTTAGTCTTTTCTGATCTACTTTTCCTAAACGTTGTAACATTTGATCTATACAATCTGTACCTACAAATATTTCTACTATATTAGTCATGAGTATGTTGTAATATTCTTCTGAAATGGGATCTGACGGCTTAAAATCTAAATTCTCATTAAAATCACTTAAATCACTTAAGTAATTATTATAATCATCTAATCTTTTCCTCAGTTTTTCTAAATTGACTAAAGTACAACAATAAGGAATGGCTTTATTCGTTTCTTTTTCGCAATAGGTTTCGCAATCCCATGCGTATAAACAATAATCGGGAATGGTTGGAAAAACGTTTAGTTTTAGAGGTGAAACTTGCGTTACCGCATTATCATCTTCACAAGTTCTCCATACGTTTTCATCGTAATTATCTTCTATTTCTTTAATGCCCAAAGCTTTGTTATTTCTTCTTATCAAACAGAAATGTTCTTTGTGTAAATACAAAACCCAATCTAATTCTTCGGTTACTTTCTTTGGTTGAAAATGTCTATGTTTGGGCATATATATTTGAAAATTAGTATTAAATTTCTTATTGAATTCGCAGATTCTAGCAGTTGTCATAACTCCTTTTCTGTTTGATTTTGAAAAAGTGTTGATGAAATCTTGAAATTCTCTCGTGTAGTCTTCGTTTAAAAGATTTTGTTTTAGTCTTTGTTTATTATTATACAATTTATACCGATATATTCTTTTATCTTTTTGAGTAGGCTAACACCACTACCCTTTTTTGATCTTTTTATTTCTTTGAAATTGTTTTTATGGAAACTCATTTTTCCTGTGAAATACCAATCGGAGGCATCCGATTTTTCATCCACTGCAGCAAAGAAATTGACAAAAGTTTTGGTATTAAAACCTACAAATTTCATGTTTTGTTTGTATTTTCCATCTTGAGTTATTTCTCCAACTATTTCAATTTGTCCC